GAAGTCCTAGATGCATGTGGTATTTTACACAACTAAGATTTGCTTGTGCTAAAATTGCTTGCCCTTAAATTGCTGTGAGATGGTTTAGACATGGGAAAGGGTCGCCCAGTGTCGCTGTGCTTTTCCAAATCATGCAGATCCCAGAAACACCTTCCCAGCCTCTTCCTTCTGTACATTAGTCAAAACACAGTGTTTCAGGCTGGGCACAGTGGCATGCACATTTATTCCCAGCACCCAGGAGACTGACACAGGCCCAACTCTACATGTTTGCAGCCAGCCTGGTCTACATAGTTATAGTCTTACCAAGGCTATGTAGTGAGATCCTGTCTCAAGGAAGGAAAGGAAGGAAAGGGAAGGGAAAGGGAAGGAAAGGAAAGGAAAGGAAAGGAAAGGGAAGGGAAGGGAAGGGAAGGGAAGGGAAGGGAAGGGAAGGGAAGGGAAGGAAAGGAAAGGAAAGGAAAGGAAAGGGAAGGAAAGGGAAGGAAAGGAAAGGAAAGGAAAGGAAAGGAAAGGAAAGGAAAGGAAAGGAAAGGAAAGGAAAGGAAAGGAAAGGAAAGGAAAGGAAAGGAAAGGAAAGGAAAGGAAAGGGATGCTTGTCTTCTCTCCAGGCTCCTTTATGTCATGTAACAGACATCCATCCACTTAAACAGCTTGTGGAATTGTTCCCATGGGCCTCCAAGAATGACAGGGCTGACGTCATCCTTCACGTTCTTTCTTGCCTTCTTTTCGGTGCACAGTCTATCCTGTGGATCACCTGCTTTGCTGGGGGTGTGGGCCATGGAAGTGACTCATTCCCATGTTTGGCCTGCAAAGCCCCACTTGTTCTCCTCCATCCCTCTGCAAATGAGGACTCGGGTTGTTTCTAGTTTCTTGCTATTAAGCCTGGTGAGGCTTCTGACAGCTTCTTGTACACTGGTGAGCATGGGCATGGTGTGACCGGTTCCTAGGGAAGCCATTGTCTACGTTAATTAGGTCAAAAAAAAAAAACCCTAATTTCCGGATCAATAGTATCTTCATCTCACCCTCGCCATGATTAGCAGTCCCTGTATCAGATTCTGAGTGATGCCATTCGAGTTGTAGCTCCTGGCCGATCTGATAGTGTCCGTGGTAAGCCGTTGTGGTTTTATTTGCATTTCTCTGCGTGGTGAGAGGTTAAGCTCTTGTGTTCTCTGTGGCCCTTACATCAGTCTCATTTGCTACCCCAAACCTTCCCCACTTCCCTCTGAGTTCCTGAAATGTGGTCAGCTATTAGTCTGCATCATCCCAACCCCAGCGCTGGGGCCTGGCGGAGAAGCAGGCTGATAGATCCCCCATGCAATGATGCAGTCGGCTCTCACCATCAGCTTCAGCAAAGGCGCTTGACCTCTGCTGATAACGGACAATACAGAATTCGAGAGGCGAGGTAACCTGCCCAAGGACACATAACTAGGGCATGGCAGGTTTCAGGTCGTCTGCTTCCCACTGTGAGGGTCTGCAGAAGCTCCTGGAACACCTGCCGCCTTTCCTGTGAGCCTTATGTGCATCCCGGGAGAGGAGTGGGGGCAAAGAGGCCAGAGGGGTGAGAAGTCCCCTTTGGGGCTGAGAGTGTGAGGAGGGGTCACGGGGACACCTTGGTGTATAGCCACTGGCATGGCCTCAGATCACGGAGCAGGAGGGTGAAAGAAACCTCAAAGTAGAGGGGAGCATCTCCATTTGGTGCTAGCCCTTCTTCAATACTTCTGACACCCCTCCCCCACCTTTTAAAGAAAAGCAGAAGGGAATCGCCAACTCCTGGAGTATTCGGGAGGTGGCGTGACTGGGTTGTGCCTTCTTTCTGTCAGCTGTTATATAGCACAATGATGGGCTAGCTTCCCAGCAAGCTGGTTGTGGTTTGTTTAAGAAAATTTGATGTAAGCCCACGAGAAGGCACAGTGGGTAGCTGGATGAGCCGGGTTCAATATCTGGGACCCACACAATGGAGAGAAGCAGCTCTTGCAGGTTGTCCTCTGGCATCCACATGTGTGCTTTGACGTGTACACACACTCACACACAATGCAGTTAAAACAGAAACATGTACCATCTACCCTGAGCCTGCAACTGGCTATTGCAACTGTTTCACAAGCACCAAGTTATCCCAAGGGTCTGAGAGCCTGGAGCCCTTCCCATCCGCACTTACAGATGAGGGCCTGGGTTTGGAATAATTAAACCACCAGCCTGAGATGACACAGCCTGGGTTTGAACTGAGGCCTTGCCGGCTCCACGGGGCGCTTACCCAGCATGCTTGTTGCCCATAGCCTCTTGGCTTCACCCTGGTATCTGTCGGTGGTAACAATGTGCTATTTTCTTTTGACACAAGTTTATTGTAGTAAAGCAATGGTCGGCAAGGGAAAGACAGTAAACAGAGACAGCATCATGGAAATGTGAGGAGGAGTGAGTGACAGAGGTTCTAGAACATTCCACAAAGGTAGCATGCGAAGGATTGGAAGGACTGCGGCTCAGGAAGAGGGCTCAGCTTGCACAGAGGGGGTACTTGGGAGAGGGTGTCTGTGCTGATTGGTTTTTCTCAACTTGCCACAAGCTAGGGTCCATTTAGGAAGAGTGTAACTCAGTTTGGAGAATGTCTCCGTCAGGCTGGCCTGTAGGCAGCCTGTGGGGCATTTTATTGATTGATGATTGACATGGGAGGGCTCACCCCACTATGCTATCTCTGGGTAGGTCCTGGGCTCTATAAGGAAGCAGGCTGAGCAAGTCCCAGGGGAGCAAGCCAGCAAGCACCATCGCTACATGGTCTCTGCATCAGCTCCTGCCTCTGGGTTTCTGCCCTGACTTCCCTCAGACCGAGCGTGACCTGAGAGCTGCAACATGAAATACAGCCTTTATTCACTAGTTGCCCTTGGTCACTGTGTTTATCACAGCAACACAACAGAAGGCAGATGAGAACAGTAGGCTGTTCAGACAGCTGCCGGGGCGCAGCAGGAGTTGGTGTTCACACCTGACACCTGCCTCCCGGCTGGCCGCTCTCAACTGTGAGGTTCGGAATAGAGAATGTGCCCATTTCAGAGATGGCAGCTGCGGCCAGTGGCCAGAAAAGTCAGAGATCAGCTGGCTGCCAGTACTGGGCCCCTCCTCCACTCTGCTAGTCCAGGCCTCTTTGGAAAAAGCATCAGAAATCTAACTAACAGCGATGGCGGGTGTTTGGGCTCATGTAACTGGAAGGTTCAGATATGGACATCAGAGACAACCTGATCCATGTTCTTACTATAGCCCTGCTGTTGTGGCTTGAATCCGAAGTGTCTCCAACGGGCACCCTGGGGCAAGCAGGTGCTTGGCTTGGCCAGGCCTGGCTCGGTACCTGCTCTGAGGACCATGCAGAGGGGCTGCAGTTTGGCATGTCATGAGGAGGGTCACTCATCCAGGCGGGAAGAGCAGCTGCTATCCTGTCAGTGACTTATGCAGAGCTATGGTGCGAAGAGCGGGAGGAGAGGCTCTTGACAAAGGACAGAAGCTTTCTATTTTCCATGTGGCTGAGATGTGACACAGAGTTCTGCTGGACTGGGGCTGGGGTCATAATTTGACACTGTAGAGCCGGGCATGCTTGGAATCACCCTCCTGTGGTCAGAGGTCAGCTCTTCAGACTGTAACATCAGCATGGCCCCCCTCCTCCCTCATCTTCCTTTGTCAGCACTGGGACCAGAAACCAGGGACTCGCATATGTTCAGGAAAAGGCAGAGTTCCATTCCCGCCATGCTCTATTTAAAACTCACTACTGCCAGGACGGGCCCCACCCTCATGAGCTCAGCTAATCCTAATCCCATCCATTTTATTAAGTGTGATTTGGGCATTAGGTTCTAACATACAAAGTTGGGGGGGACACAGTCAACTATACCACAAGATTTGTGAGGGCAAGGACCACCCAAGATCAGCGTTACTCACAGCAGCAAGTCGACATTTCCCATAACGTTTTATTCTGATACTGATGTTAGAGCAATGACTATAATTACAATCGTTAGAAGGCAAAGACAGAAGCGGTGAGTTCACAGGATCAAAACTAGCCTCGGTTACATAGTCAAGACTCTGTCTCAAGAGGGAAGGGAAGGAAAGAAGGGGAAATACACCCTTGCGGGGGGGGGAGGGAACGTGAGTAGCAATGTTTAGACTAGGGTTGGAGTCAAATGTTTAAGGCCATTTATAGAAAATATTAAATATATAATTTTGAGAGTGAGGCATTTTGGAAGCCCCTTGGGTACACTGTTCTTAGGGTTCTGTTCTAGAAGCTTCTAGACTCTGTTCTAGCTCAGTCAGCTCGGCGGTCTGTCAGAGCCTACACTTGGCTTTCTTGCACAGTACCTGGTTGAATTGTTACAAAGCTCTGGACAGGGCCTCCATTGCTTCATTTCATGAGGCTCAGAGACAGCAAGAGGCTGGCCTGGATCACACAGCTGCCTATCTGAACCTTGGGCCTTTACTGTTTCTTTGATGATGGTCAAGTAGGCCAGTTGGTGCTGCTGGATTTAGGGGAACCCCAGATGAAGCATTATCTTATTGTGGGGTCAGGGATGGTGTCTGGGAAAAGCCATGGGTCTGACCTGATCTGTGCATGGGCCAGCTTCCCTCAAGGCCCTGGTCCCAGCTCCTTGAGCCCGGGAAGGTAGTCCCCCTGGGCTAGCTCTTCCACAGGCAAAGGGCAGGAGGAGACTGGTGTTGGCTACCTATGGTTTGCTGCCCACAGTATCATCACGTCCTTGGTTTAACAAGGGCCTTTGTCCATCTCAGCCAGTCAGGGGTTCCAGGCAGCTTTGGTCTTGCTCTCCTTGTGTGCCCCTGTAGGCGCTGGGCTTCCTTTTAGAATAAGAAGTACCCCTGTGGGCTAACCTTATCTTTAGTATTCAACATGGGGGGGGCTTTTTTGTGAGCCTTGGACTGGTTGATCCTTTGATGTGGCAGGGACAGACTGTCATGGGAAGGCTGCTCAGTGCCCAGCGGCAGCTGGTTCATCTCACACCCACACACTTCTCTTGCAGGTCTGGGACACAGCATGCCACAGGGCTTGGCTGCTCCCTTGCTCCTGCTGATCCTCCAGGGAGGTAAGTCTCAACCCCATGGCTGCAGTGGACGATGGGCCCATCTTCTCCCACAAAACCGAGCAGGGGCCACATGTTGCCGTAGGCTCCTGATCATGGCCGCTGGCCACTTATCCACAATCTACAGCCTCTGTCTACTTGACGCCAAAGCTAAATGCCCTGTTTTTCACTAACCAGAACCTAGGGAACCAAACGTCTCCAGTAAAGAGAAAGGCTCGCCATCCTCATGGGAAGGAAGTCCTGCCCTGGGTCTAACCTTCATTCATTCCTCTTTGTGCAAGACTCTCACTTGGGTCATGAACCTTCAGTAGGTGGGAGGGAAAGGGGGTGGGGACAGAGGACCAAACTTTGTAGCAGTCCCTGGGGGAGGCATCAGGGCTGCAAGAGTCCTGTTGAGGGCATTCTCTCCATCAAAAGCCAGAGGCTGTGCAGGCCACCCCGGTGAGGGGAACTTGACCTTCTGCAGACTCAGCAATATTTGCTCTGGTTTTTACCGAAATATCCAGTCCTTTAAATAGCTCCCCCAGGAAACAGGCCCAGCTTTTGATTTCCCTTTCTGGTGGCGACACCCTGCCTGCTCTGGAAATCCCTTTAGTGCCTGCACTGGGAGCAGGGCGTAAGAGTGCGGTTTGGGTAACAGAGCCCTGTCACACACTGAGGCTAGAATGTCACCTCCCACTCCTCCTGTGGAGCCTCGCTAGGTTGCCATTAGTGGACGAGACAGAGAGAATGCAGACCCTGTGGAGATCCTGGGGACGGCTGCCTGACACTAAGACATGGACAGGGCAATGGCTTCTGTGATGTGCTTGTCCTTCTAGCTTCGGAACCCCAGAAGGGACTGGGAGCAGTTGAGTGTATCCATTATCCCAGTCCTGGGGAGGTGGAGGCAGAGCTCAGGAGCACGCTGGCCCAGCAGCTTAGCCAAATTGGTGAGCTCCAGGCTGAGCGGGAGAGTCTACCTAAAAAACCTCTCTCTTCAACTCAAGTGTGCACGTGCATGTTCACAAACTCACAGACATAGTCACATGTGTGTCTTTCACAGTCCCAGGGCTGGGTGCTCAAAGCCACAGTGCAGTGGGCTCTATGGTCAGTGAGGTTCAGCGTCTACTTCCAGTGTGGTGTTGGACCTCGTGTTTTTACAATGGGAGCCAGGATGGGGCAGAAAGGAGTTTTTATGGTGGGGGCCCCTGCAGCCACTCCTAACACCACTAGACCTGGGGACTCTAATGACTCTGTTACCCTTGGAGGCCTCAGCTCCTCACATGTTCTGTGGCCTGAGCGTTTGAGGGGACACATACATCCTAATTTTAGCAGGGCACCAGGCACCTGCTGTGTCGTTTGTTCGCTCATTCATTCATCCATCCATCCATCCATCCATCCATCCATCCATCCATTCTTTTTTGAGTTTTTGAGACAAGGTTTCAGTATGTAGTCCTAATCCTCCTGCCTCAGCTTGCTGCTGTGTCAGGGGGCTGCTGTATGAGGTAGCTTATGTGTTACAGTCTTGACCTCACCGGAATATGGCTGTGGAGGCTGGGACTTATGCAGCCGACTTCGGGATACTAGAGAGGCAATTTTAATCCTGGAGCTGTGGTCACCTAGTGAGGGTGCAGCTACATCCTGTACCCTATGGTAACCTCTACGGGATGCCTGGGTGCCATCCAGTTGTGGGGAGTTGCCTGGCTTGTTCACTCACTCTGACCTTGGCAGCCACCTCTCAGCAGTCTGTGGGCTCTGCTCTGTCTGCCCCAGTGGCTTGTCCAGTCTCAGCTCAGTGGTAGTATTTGTCTCGTGAGTACAAAGTCCTGGCTTCAGGTGCTGGCACTATATACTGTTTCCTTCCTTCTTCCCTTCCCTTCCCTCCCTTTCCCCCTCCCCCTCCCCTCCCCTTCCCTACCCTCCCTTCCCGCCATTCCCTTCCCCCCTTCTATTCCTTTCCCTCCCTCCTTCCTTTCTCCCCTCCCCTTCCCTCCCCCCTTTCCTCCCCTTATCTTCCTTTCCCTCCCTCCTTCCCTTCTCCCCTCCCCTCCCCTCCTTTCCCTTCCCTTCCCCTCCCTCCCCTCCCTTCCCTCCCTCCTCCCCCTTCTCCCCTCCTATATGTATGCGCTGTGTATATTACCAAAGAGGCCAACTTGCAGGAGTTGGTTCTCTCCTTTCCCCATGTGAGTTCCAGGGATGGAAATCAATTTGTTAGACTTGGCAGTGAGCACTTTTATCCACTGAGCCCTCTCACTGGCCCTGTCTCCACAATTTCTGGTGGAAGCTACCTAAGAACTGTGTCTGCCAGGCGTTATGGCTGGGGGGATGCTTTTCCCAGGAAACAGAGCTCAGCAGCCCAGGAAAGCTATCTACCCTTGGAGCCTTGGTGCTGTCCTCCATAGTCCAGGTCTAGCCTAGGACTCTAGGTTAGAACCCAGAAGTTGCCCACTGTTTCAGGGTCTTCATTGGTCAGGACGCAGAAGGAAGAAACCACTGAAGATGAAGGCCTTTTAAGAAGCGCATTTCCAGTGTGTGGGGAGAAGATACGGGTGCTGGCATGCAGTTTTACAAAGCAAAATTCAAAATGGCTCTGCTCATTTGGCCAAACATTGAACAAAACTTGGACAATGACTGCATCTTATTTTATTGTTTTCTTACGCATGTATACTGGATGCTAAGCCTAGTCCCTCCACCTTGCCCCTCTTACTTTCCCTTTTCCTGAACCCCCTTCAATTATTCTCTTTGTTCCCCTAGATGCCCTCCATAGCTGCAAACCTGATAGAGGGAGTGATATCTAGAGTTCTATATTATTTTGATTTAGTAATTAGTTAGATATTTTTTTCTTCCCTTTTGAGACAGGGTCTGGCTCTGGAGCCCAGGCTGACCTTCAACTAGCAATCCACCTGCCTCCCTTCCCCAAATGCTCAGAAGCCAGATGTGCCCCATGTCTGCCGCACCTGTCATTTGGAAAGTGAAACAAAAGGCTGGAGTGTTGGGGGAGGGGAGGGGAGGGTAGAGGTGACTCTTCCAGCCAGCCCCTGCTGTGGCATTTACTTTGGCCACATCTTGGTAGCCATGGGGTCATTGTCAGTGACAGCTAAACTGTCAACTGCAGAAGTCTCTCCCACTCTTTCACTGCCCTCACTAAACCCCTCCCCTCGTCGAGGCTGTGGGCTCAGACCATGACCCGTGCTCACTCCCTGGCCTCAGGGATCTGTCCATCTGCCTATGGGGAGTTCAGAGTGTCTGACCCTATGATGGTCAGTTGCCCAGCTTCACATTAGAAGAACCTCATCACCATGACCAGTCTTGAAATGTTGGAGCTCACACAAGGAATTCCGGTGATGAGGGTCCCTGGGTTCCAGGCTTTCAACCCAGCCTGTGACTCTACCCAAACTTGTCCTCAGACAGCTTGCCAAGGCCTTTCCAGTGTCTCTCACCTAAAAGGGCCTCTCTGCTATCCCTCCAGCTCGGGGCTGCCTGGACCTCACCTGCTACACTAACTACCTCTGGACTGTCACCTGTGTCCTGAAGACACAGACCCTCCACCCCTACACACTTACTCTCACCTGGTGAGTAGCCACGCCTCCCGAGCTGAGGAACTGCTTGGAGAGGGTGGTAGGATGGGAGGAAGCTGGGTGCTGAGCTGACCTGTGGCCTGCTCAGGAAGTTTAACTACAAACAAAGGCCTGCCCCGCCCACCAGCAATGTCACCCATCAAGGCTGCAAGAGCGGAGAGCCAGGTCCCCACCTTACAGATGACTGAGCTCACAGGACTTGCTGGGAACACGCAGATAGGAAAAAGACTGACCACACCCAGGGTTACCCCAAGGGTCAAACTCTCTTGCCCTCATAGACCTGCCTAGGTTAGCAGCCCTGGTTAGCAGTCTCCAGTGATCTTCTAAGCACCAAGTGTCCTCGCCATAAATGATATTGAAATTGTTGCTACCACATTCCAGAGGAGGGATGCTGAAGTTCAAAGTGGTTTAGCCGCTGGCTGGAAGTCTCATAGCCAGTGTGCTCATGATCCCATGTGCTGCTTAGGATAGAGACCGCTTGTCCTTCATGCCTTCATTCCCTTTAAGTATATTATGTTCCTGCCAGACATGTTGTAAGGGCTGAGGAGATAAACAAGACTCAAGACTGCAGGGTGTGGAGCCAGGGGTGGTCAACTGGGGTGGTCAGCCGGGTTGGCCAGAGCACCCATGGTAGCAGACACAGCACGTGCGAAGGCCGTGGGGGAGCATGAACCGCGAGTGTAGTTGAGCAGCTGCCTGTGACCTGAGCAGAGTGAGGGAAAACAGTAAACAAAGAAGCCGGTGGGTGTGTGAGGGCCGTCTGTGTTGCTCTGCTGCATGGGGAAGGGCAGCAGGTGTTAGGGAGCCTTGAAGGCACTTCTGGCTGCTGCCTGAGCAGGACGGAGCTCAGAGATGCTGGGTGAGGGAGCGATATCTTCAGACAGCCTTACGGTGGTCCAGGCTGGAGGCTTGCTTGGACAATGTTGTTCAGCAAGGTTTGTAGTACAGAAAATTCAGCAAAGAACTAAGTAAGTCTTCAGATCCACATTGGTCCTGGGGGGTGGCCATGTTCAGTCGCTGAACACGTTCAGAAGGAAGAAAATAAACTTCTGTGAGGGTGTGGGGTACTACAGCCCTGCACTTCAAGCCTAGTCCCTCTTAGACCCTCCTTGGAGCCCAGAGCCTCTCNATATATACTCTAAACCCCATCCTTGCTGCCCAGCAGGAGCTAAAGAACTAAAGCTTTTACCACTACCCCTCCTGACCAGAGCATAGGACAGCAGTCTGTAGGTCACTCACTGTGAGCAACAGAGACAGGTTTAGGCCCAAATTCCCAAAGCCGAGAGCTGCTGCCCTGGTCAAGGTACTGAGTGGCTGGTCCTCTGAGGCATGCAAGCTTCATCTGAACTCGGAGTGTGCTGGGTGCTGCAGAGAGGTCACTGTCCCTGGGAGAGGGCTGGATCATGACCCTCAGCCCTACCTCCAGCCCCTCTCACCCTCATGCTTCAAGTTCCTGCCCTGCCCCGGGCACTGAGTTTCACTATCCCCATTCATAACTGGCCACTCTGTCCCTGAAGGCAAGATGAATACGAGGAACTACAGGACAAAGAAACCTCTTGCAGCCTGCATAGGTCGGACCACAACGCCACACACGTGCTGTACACGTGTCACATGCCCTTGTCTGGATTCATGGCTGATGACGTTTTCATTGTCAACAAGATGAACCACTCTGACAACAGCTCCCAGGAGTGTGGCAGCTTTATCCTGGCTGAGAACAGTGAGTACCCACAAACCCAAGCTGAGGAGGACTCAGGGCCCTTCTCTGACCTCAAAGCAAGCTCTTCTCACGCCAGCAAAATCTACTGTCCTTAGAGTGTTTTTTCTAGATGCCCTGCTTTTAGCTAAGGGGTCATGGTTTGATATAGGATGTGGTCTAAATGTCTAAGAGGAGCATCACAGGCTTGGAACAGGGGTAGGACCCAGCTCAGCCCTCCCTGTCTGTCTGACTCTGATTTACCTTGGAAAGACCCCTTTTTATGTGACCTAGGATTTTGCTCCTAGTAGTGAGCACCAGTCAGCTAACATGGAATCCTCCCAGCTGAATGGGGGGGGGGGCTAAGGTTAGGAGGGCCCCAGGGTATAGCTGCAGCTGTCCCCAGAGCCTAGGCTGGACAAAGGAGGGGTCTGGAGCAGCAGCTTTGGTGCATGGCAGAGTGTGTATCTGTTTATGCATCTGTATGTGATAGGGGGCCCCTTCTTTAGGAGAGAAACTGAAAATGACAGAATCCAGAGAGCACCTTGCTTAGGCATTTTCCACATTAGGCATTAATATAAAAACTTCCTCCAGCCAGCTGGATTTCCAGCATTTGCTTTTTCTTTTCCTTAGCTGGACTGTGCTGGGCCTGAGTCCTGGCTCCAGCCTTTAAGCCTGGGAATACTCTCTCGTTTCCCACAGTTCCCAGTCCTGCTTCACTGTATTGATGCTTCACCTAGATCTAGTCCAAGGGAATAGGGGCTGTGACCAGGGACTGCTTTGTTCAAAGCTGCGCAGGGCCTTTGGGGAATGCGGGCGGTGTGGGGGGGGGGGGGGGAGGGGGAAAGACTCTGCTTCCTGCAGGTTCTTATCCTGTTTCATCTTTCTGGGTCTTCCTCCAAGTCAAGCCAGCTCGCCCTTTCAATGTGACCGTGACCTTCTCTGGACGTTATGATATCTCCTGGCGTTCAGATTATTATGAAGACCCTGCCTTCTACGTGCTGAGGGGCAAGCTACAATATGAGCTGCAATATCGGAACCTCAGAGACCCCTATGCTGTGGTGAGGAGGCAGGGCACGGGGTGGAGCAGCAGGGGTAGGCAGGCAGGTCCCAGCAGAGCGGGGGCAAGGAATGGGACTTGGCATTTCCTCCCAGCCTGTAACCCTCTCCTACCTCCTCCCTGGGCCAGGGTACCCCTCTATGTCTCCATCTTGACTTCTCCCCTACAGCCTACCTCAGTTACAATGGGGCAAGTTTGGAGCATTGCCCTTGCTTTGAATGGGAATGCTCCTTAGAGAGGGCGCACCTGGAAGGTTCCAGAATGGCCCACTGTTTAGACAGAGCCTGGGGCTTCTAGAATTATACATCTATTAGAATGGTCCTGGTTGAAGATTTCCATAAAGGGGATCATCTAGAATGTTCCCTGGGCGGCTTCTTCTAGCCGTCCATTGATAAGATGGTTTACTTAGGGACTTCCAGAGGTACCCTGCTGAGGATGTCCTATGTCATCTAGGACATGGAGCCCAGGGGCTGTCTGTGGAGCTTCTGGTTAATAACGTGCAGGGGTGCCCATGGTTACTCCCAGGACATTGTCAGTTGGGGGTGGGCCCACTGCTACAGAGAGAGCTGTTTTTCCAGGTAGCTCTAGTCAGGGATGCATGCTCCCTGCGGGGCCTGCCTGCTTACTCCTGTGGAAGGACTTTGCACCCCCTTGATGACTTGGGAGACTACAGAGCTTTGCATTCCTTCCATCTTGGCAGAGGCCGGTGACCAAGCTGATCTCAGTGGACTCAAACAACGTCTCCCTTCTCGCTGAAGATTTCCACAAAGACTCCACCTACCAACTGCAGGTGCGGGCAGCACCCCAGCCAGGCACTTTATTCAGGGGGACCTGGAGTGAGTGGAGTGATCCTGTCATCTTTCAGACCCAGGCTGGGGGTAAGTGTGACGTGGGTGGGAACCCCTACATCTGGTACTGACTCTTGTCCTGCTGCAGCTTTCTCAAGGCCTGAGGTCCCCCCCCCCCGCGCATGGCTGGGAGGTGTGTGCTCTGTTATCCATCCCCCAATGCAGCCACACATTTTTGCGAGGGGAGCTGCTGAGTCTGATGGTGCATTTGACTCCTAATTCTGAAATGGGAGTCATTGCCCCATTTTACAGAAGAGAAAGCTAAGGCTTAAAGAGATGACATCACTTTCCTGGGATGAGAATAAAATTCCTGATAGAATCAACTTAATAGAGTAGAAGGGTTATTTTAGCTTCTGGTTTGGCTCATGGTTGTAAGGCCCTGTTGCACTGCGGGTAGTGTATGCCACTGTTTACTTCATGGTAACCAGGAAGCAAAGACAGAGGAAGGGATGGGGTCCCAACATTCCTTTAGTGTGTCTGTAATGACCTAACCATCTCCCACTAGGCTCAGGGTCCTAAGATCCTACCACCTTCCAGTAGCATCCAGGTTGGGACCATACCTCTGACACAGGCGGCTTTGGGGGAGGGGTCATTTGACAGAGGGAGGGATCAAAGCCCAGCTTCCTCCCAGCCTTCCACCCAACCCAACCATGCTCCATACACCCACCCACATTCTTCTGGGAGCCTTTTCTGTTGGATCCATGGTTTGCTCTCTATGCAGAGCCCAAGGCAGACTTGGACCCTCACCTGCTGCTGCTGCTGCTGCTCCTTCTGTTCTTCTTGGTGCCCTGCCTGATTTTCTTGGGTCTGAAGATCGACCTGCCTTGGAGGTGAGGCCAGGGGCTCAGGGAGACAGAAAAGGGGTCAGCTTGGGTCACAGCCCCTCCAACCAAGACCTGTGACACCAATGAACAGTGTGTATGTTCCATGTGCTAGACACGGCAGAGCTCCTGCCCCTGCTCTGTGACAGCTGTGTGAGCGTGGCACACTGCACACACCCCCACTCTTCAGACAGGGAAAACGGAAGCACAGGGTAGCCAAGCTACTTGCCCAAAGTCACAGAACTATGATGTGGCAAGGGTAGGGTAGAAACTTCATGTTCTTTGAGGGGACCTTGACTCAGACCTTGTCCAGAGAGTGAACATGGAGGCCCAAGGGGTGATCACTCACCCTCCCCATCTCTTCGTTTCAGCTTAAAGGTGGCCTGGGATTTGCTTTCTATACAGGGCTTCCGTTCTGCATGCCATGGAGAGAAAGGAGGCTGCTGATTCAAAACAGAATGTACCACCTTGGTGCCAGCAGTGTGACAGGCTGCTGTGTGCAGAATCCTCTGATAAGTGACAGAGCGGGGCTCTGCACACACTCGTTTTGTTCCCCTTCAGTAAGATACTCAAAGATAGAGACAGAGAATCTGGAAGGGAGAGACCAGGGTGCTCGTCACAGTTGGTGGCAGCCTGGGGTTCTCCCCACCCCCACCATGGTAGATGAGGAAGTCAAGGCCCCAGAGGGCAGTGTGTGCCCAGCCCACAATAGATGTAGATGCCAGGGGCAGGAACTTGAGCATCTGCAGGAAGCTTGGGGGTGAGGGTAACTGCTGCTTCCGTTTTATTGATGGGTGGGCAGGAAGGCGCCTGGCAGTAGAAGCTGTTGCTTCTGCAGGAGAGAGGCCAGACCACAAGGGCTTTACACACCCCTTTCTTTACAGACTATGGAAGAAGGTTTGGGTACCAGTGCCCAGCCCTGAGAGTTTCTTCCAGCCCCTGTACAAGGAACACAGTGGGAACTTCAAGGTGAGACACCTTGGATGCACCCTTTGGATGTTAAGCTCTAATAACTCTCACTCTAACCCCAAGACTGCTCTGTGAGTCCAGAGTATTCAAAACCTGACCTGGAACCAGGCCTCAGTTTCCCTATTCTGTGAGGTGCAGAATTGGTCTTAGACTTAGGCATCGTGATGCATTTCCAGCTTAGAGTTACCGTGAAAGTGGGCAAACTGGGTGGCCCTTGGGTGCATGAGCTAGGTGCCTGCGGTTTCCTGTGGTGACTTTGATCTGTGTTGGGGAGCGAATCTTACCTGGGAAGGACCTGCCCTATCCCACAGCACATCCCTCTCCCTGCCAAGGACAGCTGCCACTACTGTTATTTCGGACTATCTGCCCTGCATTGCTGTGCAAAGCCAGCAGGGAGGGAGGCCCCGGAGAGAGGATGTGATGTCAGGGAACAGCACTTGCCGCAGCCCATGGAGGTCAGAGCAGCAGGGCACCCAAGGAACAGCTGCTGCACACCTGGTCTGTGGCTCTGCCTGTACTGTAGCCCTTGCAGTGAGTTCCCAGCAGCCCTCTGGGTCACCAGGAGGAGGTCCAGGCTCAGAGTGACCAGTGGGCCTTCCAGAAAGGGCAAGGGTGCACCCACACCCCTTCTTATCCCAAAACACAGCATTGCTGCCTGCTGTGCTGTGCTCTGATGTTGCTGTTAATCTTGTATAACTTGCCCTGTCAGCAAACAAACATTACCTCACTCAATCCTCAAGACACTGCCATGGGTGGGACCATCCCATAGAAGATAGAAATGAGACATGGAGGGCAAGGGCCTAACTCAAGGTCACACAGTTCAGAAGTGACCCCAGGTCAGGGATAGGGGAACATTGTGGTTCTGAGATGTTCTTTTCAGGGGACCTTCTCACACCAGGGTGATCCCTGTCAACTCAGTGGAGGCTCCCCTATTGTCACCAATATCCTGGCAGGCAATGGGCAAGAGGGTTCTCAAGGCTCCAGGGCCGCTGTCTCTGTCCAGCATCCCCTAAAGGCCTTTCCGCATATCTGGTTACTGATTCGCTCCCTCCATAGATATTTATGGCAAATCTGCTGTGTGCCGGGTACTGAGGACACAGCTGTGAGCAGGCCCGCTCCTGGCTGAGTGTTCGCTGTAGTGCAGATACACAACAGAGCTGTAAAGGCTTGTGTTGAAAGACAGGATATGGGCGGGGCCCCTTAGACCTCGGGACTCAGGAGCCTGGTGCCAGCATCCAGCCGATTCTACGCTGGCTGGGGCACTTGTTACTAATGTGAAGGCAGTCCGTCCTTACTGCAGGTGGGGACACGGGCCCTGAAGGAGAAGGACAGCATTGGGGGCCCGCAGGACAAGGGTTCATCATGGTCCTGTCTTTCTCTCTCTGCTGGTGTCTTGTTCCTCTGTTCTCCCTGTCTCTGGCCCGTCTCTCTGTCCCAGCGTCCGCGCATCTTAGACTCTGTTCACACCCAAGCATCTGCCTCAGCCGATGACTGTCTCTTTCTCATAGAAATGGGTGGATACCCCTTTCACGGCCTCTAGCCTGGAGCTGACACCACAGAGTCCCACAGCAACTTCAGTCCTACAAGTGCACGACAGCTGTTCGCCCTCATACCCAGCCAAGGAAAAGAAGTTCCTGGGGCCGCCAGGCCTGGAAGAACAGCTGGAGTGTGATGGGACATCTGAGCTTGGCCACTGCTGCACAGTGCTTTTGGCAGCCGGCCCAGGCCTCTCCGCCTACAGTGAGGAGAGAGACCGGCCATATGGTCTGGTGTCCATTGACACAGTGACTGTTGGGGATGCAGAGGGACCATGTGCCTGGCCCTATGGCTGTGGGGATGATGGCTACCCAGCCCTGAACCTGGATGCTGGTCCAGAGTCTGGCCCTAATGCAGAGGATCTGCTTTTGGTCACTAACACCACTTTTCTGTCCTGTGGCTGTGTCTCAGGTGGTGGCCTCAGGCTGGGAGGTACCCCAGGCAGCCTCCTGGACAGGTTGAGGCTGCCCCTTTCTCAGGAAAGGGACTGGACAGCAGGCCCACCCTGGAGAACGGGGTCCCCAGGAGGAGGCTCTGAGAGTGAGGCGGGCTCACCCCCTGGCCTGGACATGGACACTTTTGACAGCGGCTTTGCAGGATCAGACTGTGGCAGCCCTGTGGAGAGTGATGAAGGGCCCCCTCGCAGCTACATACGCCAGTGGGTGGTCAGGACCCCTCCACCTGTGGACAGCGGCGCCCAGGCCAGCTAGCATATAAAACCAGCTGCCATAAGAAGGGGCCAGAAGTGGGCAGGCATTCGAGCCTGCCATTTACAGTGTGAATATGTAGGTATGTGTGTGTCCATGTGTGGCTCGGGTGCGCGTTCCCACATCCTTGTGTGAGAAATGCCTGTACATGCCTTGTGTTCACGGTCATACCTGTGTGTGTCTGCCTGAGCTCACTGTGTACATGCATGAGTGTAGATGTCTCTTAGACATGAGCCTCTGACTCCTCCCCTGCAGACGTGCGGGGTGGCCACAGTCAGTGTCTAGAGACTGGTTCAGGTTCCTGCCCCAGGGCACTATCACCACGCCCAGCCCTGTCAGATGCTACCTCCAAGAAGCTATGAAGTCCAGGCTGTTACGATCTTCTCTCCTGGGGCAGGGAATAGAGTGAGCCTACAGCATCTACTGGAGTGGGAAGGTTTTGGGGGAACCTAGGGCTGTAACTGTGAACCCCAGTACAGGTGGCCCCAGGCTATGCATCTTGGAGAAGCCACTTCTGAACTCTGCAGGCTTCGCTTTCCTGGGCATTAGGAATGGTGTGGCTGCCCTGACTTAGCCCTATGCAGTTCGCAGCCCCTTTCAGCTTTTTGACTTTTGTGGCTTTTAGGACCAGGTGTATGCCCCGAGGAGGGAGAATGAGAAAAGGCAGCCTATACTCACAGCCTGGGTACATATGGAGAATCCTGCCATGGGTACTCAGTGGGATTTTGGGCTGTGATATACACAGCCCGGTCCTCAGAAGCAGTACCACCAACCAAGGTTTTTTTTTTTCCTTATTAAAAACAAAATTCCTGTAAGTACTTAGGGAATATTTATTAAATATCAGGCATGGGGAGAGGGTACAGAGCGCGTTACTCACAGAACCCTCTTTATGATACCCAGAGTTCAGGGGACACAAGGGAACCATCAAGAAACAGCTTCTAGGGGCTGGAAAGATGACTCAGTGGTTACGGGCTGTTCTTCCAGAGGACCGGGGTTCAATTCCCAGCACCCACATGGCAGCTCACAGCTGTTCCAGGGAACCCGAAACCCATGGCAAAACACTAATGCACATTAGAGAGAGAGAGGGTGGGAAGGAGAAGAAGAAGAAGAAGGAAGGAAGGAAGGAAGGAAGGAAGGAAGGAAGGAAGGAAAAGAAAGGAAGAAGTAGCTTCTGGGCACTCTGCAGCCAGTACCTGCTCTTCCCCTGCCTGTTCTTGATGTCACGTTTATCCTAGGGACTTAGGGAAGGTCCCCTTGCATCCAGTGATTCCTGTGAGCGTGCTGCGTGAGGAAGCTAAGAAGTATGGGGTGGTACTTCTTCCTGGACGGCAGGGCGGTATAAGAGCTATACAGTGCCAAGATTGCTTAGCCTTTGCTGGCTTTTTCTTTCTTTTCCCTCCCTCCTTCTTCCCTTCCTTATCCTTTGTCCTTTTCTTCTTGAATGGTCTGTACTTCCTACAAGGGTGCCCACCCAAGATGTCGTATGGTATTGCAAAACCAGACAGGTTGGAGATAGCAGAGTGCCTGACCTGCTCTGGACACAGTAGGAAGCCTCCATCTTGTTTGGAACTCCAGGGTGCAGCATTGCCGCTCAATGGCCCAGGCAGGAAGGCTGTCTATCTGTCCAGTCTGCATAGCTGAACTGGAAAGAGGTCAGCAGAAGTCAGCCGAAAGCTCCCTCAGACTCATGCTGGTGGGGACACCCAGAGAATGCACAGATGTCCTCAGTATCTGACTCAGGGCTGGCTGGAAAGTTCTACAACACTGGTAGTTTGAACAGCGAGACTGCACCTAGAACCAAGGTGTGTGAGGCTCTCAGACCAGCAAAAACCACAGCTCCCTCCCTGCACGTGTATACAGCCCCACCCTGCTGCACCCCCCCCTCCCCAGACACTTAGACTAAAATGTGCTGTGGTTTTCACATCCTCTGGGAGCCACAGACTGCAGGTGTTCTTGGCAGCTCTCCAGGGAACCAGTTCAGCAACGCCCCCCCCCAACCCGCATACAGGAAGAACATTCAGGGCTGAGGTGCTGACCCCCACCGGATCCATTTTTGAAGGAACACCTCATGAAAAAATGTGAACGCAAGGTTGGAGGCAAGAGCTAGACCACCTAGGAGTTAACAGTGGGTGGACGGGAGGGCGGTGAAAGATTTGACGGGATGACAGCTGGGATGACGGCTGGACAGAGAGACAGACAGACACACTGCACAAGAGTGGGTGGACCAGATACAATCTAGGAGGCTAGCTGCTCTGTCTGCTCCCGGTTTTATCCCCAGCCCTACACACAACAGGTGCTTAATAAAGTTTTAATAAAACCTGGATTGTGGCCCATCTTAATTCCAGGATCTCAGGCTGTGAGCTAGATTACTCTAGACATGGTTGGTGAGGGATATCTTCTGGCTGGGAGGAGCTGGCCAGTTGCTGATGGGCACCCACAGCACAGCATGAGGATGAGGCTTTAGGAAGGAGGCAGGGCTTTTCAGACATTGGGAGGCTCTTTATTCCAGCGAGGGTCTCCAGCAGATACGACCAAGAGGCAGAGCCATCACCTAAGACCAGGTAGAGCTGCTAGAAAGGTGTTCTGAAAGGATGGGGCTCACATCACACTCCACCAGCGTGCACGGGCTTTGATGTTCAGGCTTTGCCCATCTTGACTTTGAGGGCATGGGCTATCCCCTTGGGCAGGATGAGCTGGACCTGCCTGAGATCTGTCACCCAAGAAATCAAAGAGGCAAACCTCTTAGCAAACACTCATGGGTGTCTGCCAATTTGCTAGCTCTGGGACAGGGCAGTAGATATCCCTCCCCCTACCCATGCTGCTGTGTAGTCAAGGCAGACACGTGCCCTGAGCTGCTTCACGCTTCTCTCTGAAGCAGTGCTGGGGCTAGAACCCAGGACCTCACAGACGCTAGGCAGGTCCTCTGACTGAGCTAGCTTCCCTAGCCCCTACTTTTACTTTTCCTATTTTGAGTCAGGGTCTAAATTGACTGGACTGGTCTTGAGCTCTTGATCCTCCTACCATAGCTTCGGAATCCCCAGGCCTGCTGTTTCAGCCTTTCCTCTGGCTACTAGGAGGAGCCAAGCCTGGAGCTGCGGGGGGGGGGGGGGGGGGGGGGGGGGGGGGGGGGGGGGGGGGGGGGGGGGGGGGGAGGAGGGAGTCACAACAGGAGAAAAGAGCTAGCCTGAGGTGCTATGAGGTAGAAGCCTGGGAGCTCCTGGATGGAGCCATGCCTGACTGAGGTTCATGAGGGGAAGAGTCACTGTGAGCCTGTGAGCTTCACTCTTGCCAGCTTTTGGCTTTCTAGGCGGGTGAATTTCCCAGCCCCATGGGGTCAGAGAGGATGCAAGCAGAAGTTCATCCTTTCTAATGGAGCACTTATGAGTCACAGCGCCTCCTAGCTGTCCTCCTGTGCCATGGGCATTGGTGGTGACTGAGTTGGCTCTCTGTGGCTCTCTCTGCCTGAGGACGGGACTGAGTTTCCTGTACCTATGATGGTATGACGTGCAAGCCTGACATTAACTATGTCATTTGATACTGCGGAGGTGTGGCTGTTAGGCAGCACACCCCATCTTGTCCTGACCAGTTGAGACATCTCCAATCTGTGTGTGTCAGCCGGTTTGAGGTGGGTGAAGTTTCTACACCCCATAAACCTCTCCGCTGATGCAATAATCCAAATCAGACCAAACCAAACCGAATTAGAAAAAGCCCAGGTTTAATGGATACCAATGCTCCCGGGTGGCTCTCCAGCCCCCCAGGGAGGAGCCAGGGAAGGAAGACCCAACAAACCGTGTGTTTATTCTCTGAGGTGCTGTTTAAATACCCTGTGGGAGTGGTCTTGAGCATCTCTGGGAAGGGGTCATTGTTTGGCTGGCTTTTTTGGAGGTGGAGTCTGGACAACTCCCAGGGGAGGGGGCTTGAGATGGAACTTCCACCCGAACATTCCAGACTCTTTAGATATATGGATGCCAAGGGCTGGGGTGACGCTTCCAACCAAACAGTGGGTTCCTGTTGCTTGTGGCAGGAAGTGCTCTATAACAACCACAATGAAAAGACAACTCCCTTCCTAAGGACCTCAGTGAGAAGAGAGGGGGTTGGGGGCATGGTTCACAGGCACAGCGCTTGTGTGGCATTCGAGCCCTGAGGAAGGGAGATCAAAAACACCAGGGGCCAGGGTAGAGTTGCTTAGAGTTGTTTGTCTGTGGCCTCACACGGAGCTGGGCACTGACAGCAGGTGGCACTCCTCCTCTGCCCTCCTCCTGATCTCTTGAAAGCTGTGTCACCTCTGCCAGAACCCCAGCAGCCTTACCCCACTGTCTCCAGGGCATTCCCACTGTGGTGTGGTCTGGGGTCTCCAGGGTCTCACGCAGGAAGGCATCGAGGAGAAATAAAAGCCACCTCTCACCCTGGGGACAGAAGCCACGGCAAAGGACTCCTCAAGCCCACTGAGCCCTCTGCAAACTGCTCCTCTTGGCATCCACAGAGAATAGAAAGAGCCTTGTGTCTCAGGCTGCAGTTGCCTGGACATGGCTACCACTTACCAAGTGGCACAGCCCACAGTGGCCCATCCAGTCCCAGCCACAACCACAGAAAATGGGTGGAGGACTCCCGGGGAGTCCTGATGAGCCGTGCCTCCTGTGGCTGTAACTTCCTGCCAGTAGAAGCGTAGACCCCGATGACAAACTGGAGAGGGGACATGCTCTGTCTAGAGTTATCCACGTGCTTACACAAAGGTGTAAGGGCCAGGGTCCAGCTTACACAGCACCTCAGTGTGATCATTGTGGTGGGGGCCCTTATTCCCAGCTGCAGCACACACCTGCCTGGCTTTGCTCCCAAACAAATGTGTTAACAAAATCCACCTTGCAGTTTGCTGCCTGTCTGTTCCTATCAGCAGGGGCAAGGATTGAAGTTGCTGCATGTCAGGGCCCAGATGGGATGGCTCTGAAGGGATACTCAGCTATGGGAGATGACTGAATGGAGGAACTGTCCTCACAGGACCTGCGGAAGACACAGGAAGGGGGCAGAGTTCCCAGGAAGTTTGTAGAGGCCAGAACTACACCCAACCATGTGACAACCTGAGGTCCTGCCCTGCCAATTTGGAACTTTTTCTTTCCCGACTTGATAGCCCTGTGTAGGAACCTTCGCCTTATGCGCTTCTGTGAGCATAGGGCTGATTCTCCATCCCTCCACCCTAGGTGTTGTGGAGGGGGCTTTGAGGCAGGCAGCCTGGTGGGAAAACCATCACACCTGCCCTACCACTAGCTTCCAACTTTGCGGAAGCTGTTTCAACCTTGTGGGCCCTCTGAAACAGGCACGAGTCACGTGTGCTTCTCAGGATGGCCGTGACGCGAGCTCTCCGCAGTGTCCAGAACCGGTGTCTGATGTGAGTATCTGATGTGCGCGCGGGTGTGTGCTCTCGGTAGCATTTTTGCAGGACGTCACCCTGGCTCCGGGAGGTTTCACAGGTTGCTGCTGCCCTCTGCTGCTGAGCTGGAGTCAGACAGCCTTCCAGCTCTCCCGCCATCCAGAGGCGGGAACAAGAGAGACTGGTGAGAGTTGTAGGTGCTAAGGCCAAGAGACCAAGCGGCAGTTTAATTCAGCAAGGCCTGAACCCCAGCCCTTGAGTGAACGGGACTGCCTTGCGCACTGAGGGGTGGTGAGAGACACACACATGGACACACACGTTCACACAGCTGGAAAATCGCTGCGGTCAAGAGGCCAGGGGAAGGATGGCTAGCCAGGGAGCTCAGAAGAGGCACCTCACCATAGCTCACCTGCAGGCTGCTCTAGTCCTCGGTTGAGTCAGCTGAAATAGAGGGCTCTGACCGCAGTAGAGTGACTATGACCTGAGCAGGGCTTGGAGAGGATGAAGACCCTGCATGAGATGCGCTCTGGGGGCGGGGGCGGGGGCTGGGAAGTTCTGTGAGCTTGCTCAGTCCAGCGCAGGAGGCTCTTTTGCTGTCTTGGTAGCTCCAGGTGTCCCAGGGATGTTATGGAAGGAAAGTGAGCTGCATAACGGGCATCATTCGCAGCAAACAACACGAAGGTCTGTGCTTCCCAGAGTGTGCCCTCGCGTGTGTAAATGCAAAAGGCCTCTGAGTGTCCTGGGGGGGGGGGGGGGCAGGCACAGGGAGGCCTGAGCCATGTGTGCAAGTTTTCCGTCTAAGAGAACCATTTGGATGTTGTTTCCCTAAAGAAACGAAAGGATAAAGAGGGCCAGACTGTAGGTAGACCGGGAACTGAGAGGACGTGTGGCCGGCCAGGTGGCCCAGTGCCACCTCCCATAGTCCTTGGTGAGAAGTGACAAGGTCAGGCATAGCTCTTGGGGTCGGGAGGCACAGGAGCCCTGTATTGCCTTTTTGAAGTCTTTGCTACTGTTTGTTCACCATTTCTTCTACTCTGAACCGGAAGTTCTCAGCAGTCCAGCAGCTCCCTGGTTTCTAGCTGGAGGTCTCCTTCCCCCTGTCCTCCCCAGGGACTCTGGAGTCCTCTGGACTCACCAGCCTGCTGTTGTGTTTCTAGATGTCTTTGTGTAGAGCTCAGAAAGGCTGCTAGTATCCCGCTGTCTGGGTGAGAGGTCCGTGGGTGGACAGACAGGCAGATGGATGCGTAAGTGGATGACGGACAAAAGGGCAGGCGGTAGAAGGAACAGACTGAGAACTGGTGGCTACAACGAAGGGAGAGGCTTCGGGAACGAATGTTCAAATAAGCCGTGTCTGCTTGAGTGTACCCTGAAACCCCATGTCCCCCTGCAAACATGCTCCCCAAATGGTCCATGTAGGTGGCTTTGGGGAAGAGGGTACCACTGAGCTCACTGAGTCCATGCTTGATGGCCTCCAGGTCCCCAGGCCTCCTATCTCACCTGAGACCTGGATGTAAGGCAGAACTCGATGGCCGGCTTCCAGCCTCATATGCAGCGTGACAGGCAGGCTCTGCTCCTGAGCAGAGCACCTTCACTGCCCCACTGTTTCCCAGAACGTTACCAAGGGTCTATGTGGGGCTCCCTGTCGTGATCCCATCCTCAGCAGTTTCCACAGGGGCGTGGCTTACAGCCATCAGGGCAGTGACACAGAGGATGAGACAGGTTGCTAGCCGGGTGAGGTCACCAAGTGCCATGCCCCTTAAGTAGGCAGGAAGGATGACAGGGAGGGGCAGGGGACAGAGGAGGATCAGGCCAGCTGTGGCACATGGTCTCTATGGCTTTCCTGACTGTCATAATGAAGGTAAGTCTTGCTGCTAAGACTCGCTTGCATTAAAAAAAAAAAAGGTAAAAATCTAAGTTTTCAGTTG